GGGAAAGCCTGGAGAACCAGGGCTCCCAGGCCAGGAGGGTGCCAGGGGCTTACCGGTAGGTGCTGCTCAGAAAGGTTCAACCCACCAACTCCTATTCAGTTACCAAGAAGTATTTGTTGGGCAGATGAGGTCCTTTACTGATGCAAACATATCACCAGTCATGGCATTGTGACTAAATAAATGCATAAATAAGCACCAAGAATTGAACACAGATGTTTCCAAATCCTTCACACTTGGAGAATAGTAAATCCCTCATCTAGAAGTGGAAACACATAACCTCATTACACCCCCATACCAGAAGGCATAGTCACAGCTGTAGCCCTTGTGTTCTGTTAATGTCCTGTGAAAGAGTGGGGACAATGAAATTTAGGGTTGAATAATTGATTGGCTCATCACATGAGGGATACACAGACTAGAGTTTTGGTTTTACAGCCTAAAGAACTATGGAAAGCTTTTCCTGTGATGTTGCCCTTCCTAAGTACTCCCTGGGACATGGCTGCTCCATGCTGAGCAGTCCCCAGTAACCTTAGGCAAAACTGGGAAGGTTATTAAGTAAACATTCAAGCTAGAGTATTCTTAGTGTTTCGTGCATCAGGGTGATGGATAATTATTGATTTCATTCTCTTCCATAGGGTTTCAAAGGACAGAGAGGAGATACAGGTCCCCCAGGTCCCCGGGTAAGTAACGAGTGCCTCATGCTCAATCATTTCAAGAAAGATTGTGTGAATTGAAGTTGCCCTTTCTGAGGCAATAGAAAAAATCAGACAGTGTTTTATGTGGCTATTTTCAACTACAATTCCATGGGCCACATTTATGACATAAAATGGCAGCAGCTGTCTTCATTCTCTCTGAATGACAGAGCTGATGCTGTCTTTGTGAAGAAGCCTTGTGGATGCTTCCATACCACATCCCTCTGGTACAAATGATCCTGCCTCTCTACTCAACCTTGTGAGGCCAGACCTGGAGTATTGTGTCCAGCTCTGTGTTCCTCAGTACAAGAAGGACATGGAGCTCCTGGAGCAGGTCCAGCAGAGGGTGAAAAAGGTGATTAAGGGACTGGAGACTCTCATATGTGAGGAAAGGCTAAGGGAGTTGGGCCTGGTCAGTGTCAAGAAGCGATGACTGAGAGGGACCTCATTAATGTATACAAGTACATGAATGGGAAGTGCCAAGATGATGGAGCCAGACTCTTCTCAGTGGTGGAAGCCAATAAAACAAGAGGGCAAAAACCGATGCACAGGAAGTTCCACCTGAATACAAGGAAGAACTTTACTGTGTGAATTACTGAGCACTGAAACAGATTGCCCAGAGAGGTCATGAATTCTCCCTCACTGAAGGTATGCAAGAACTGTCTGAATGCCATCCTGAGCCATGTGCTTGAGTAGGGAGGTTGGACCAGATGACCCATTGTGGTCCCTTCAACCTTAACTGATGGTGTGATTCTGCAGTTCTGTGACCTGCTGGCTCACAAGGTGAGGAACCCTACTGCACTTGTTGGACAAGTACCAGCTCTCCTCCAAAAATGTTAAAGAAGTGCAAAATAGGTTCATGTACAAAACTTAGAGAAATGTGAATAGAAATGTCCCTTTGACTTAGTTGCCTGTGGATCATAAAACCCAAACGTCAGGTCCTGCTCTGTCCTCTGTTCTGAGCTCCTTGGTGTAAAAAATGGAATGCAAAATTGAATGTTCTTCCACCTAATTCTGCCTTTTTGCAGAAGCTTAGCTGAAAAATCCAGTGCTGGAGTTCCTCATGTCTTCTTTATTATGATAGTTTCTGTATCATGGATATGTTGATGGTTTTCAGTGACTGGACTAGCAGTAGCAAATGATCTGCTGGAAAGAAGAGCACTGCCTCGTGCATCACATACAGGAGGTGTTTCTGAGATAGTTTTGTAAGCTGCTTGTCATATAAAATGAACAGGGCCCTTGCCTTTAAAAAGTTTTCACTGGTCTCAGCCCAATATTGCAGAAACCCGTACCACTTACAGTGATGTTATTGGTCCATCTTGGACTTGGGACTTGATGATCTTTGGGGTCTCTTCCAACCTGGTTGATTCTATGATTCTATGACTCTATGACCTTGATCTGATCTCTACTTTTTGCTGAATTGCAGGGGGAGCCAGGTGTGATGGGTCCTGCTGGTCGTGACGGGCCACCAGGGAAGGATGTAAGTGTACCATTTTGAGTAGAAATGAATCTCCTTCTCCCTGACAAATGAATATTTTAATTCACAGTGACCCTGACCTCAAACAGCTGCAGAAACTGCAACAGAGGGTGAATTACTGCAGGGAAAGATTTGTGCAAAAGATCAATAGGGGAAACAAAGAATTAGAGGGCCTTTGTCACTGCTAAGTTGCAGACACCAAAATGTCAGCTATGTCTTCAGAACAGCAGAGAAAGCATCATTGTGTGAAACCAGGGCTGTGCTGCATAGCACAGAACCTTCCTTCTGCCACCTTTCTCTGAGCAGTGCTTCATTCTGCAGGTCCCACGGGACCAGGTTCTGTCATGCTTCCTCTACCACAGCTGTACCTGACTGAGTGCACAGTGCCACTGAAACCTGTGAAATACCTATGGAATAAGATGCTGCTGCTCAGAGGAAAGAGAGATGGTGCAAACAGGTCCCCTGGCATTATTCGTGTCAAGTGTAGTCATATAACAAAGTCCTGGGAGAGTGTATCTGACATGGGATCCTGCAGCAGCTGCTGAGCAATGTACCTAGTCATATAACAAAGTCCTGGGAGAGTATATCTGACATGGGTTCCTGCAGCAGCTGCTGAGCAATGTACTGAGTGGCTGGTGTGCAGCAATGGGACCTGGGGAAGTGGCTTCTCATTTGCACCTCCTTGTATCACTGGAAACTGTTGTTCTGTAAATGGTAGCCTAGAAAAAAAATATAAGACAGACCTAAAGGAACCCCTCAGAGAAGAGAGAAGCAGCTTCAAAGCCTCTCTGAAGAGAGAAAAGAGTAGTTAATTCTTGAGAAAAATTAGAGAATCTCTGTCCCTGAGAAATACTGCTTTAAGATAACCTGATAATAATGGTTTCTGCCTATAATCAGGCTGGATTTAGTGAGGAATATTTAAAATTGAAAAGGCTGATCTTCCTCGTAAATAACTGCAAGGGGATATTGAGGCTCCTTTAATATTGTTTCCCCTAAGATGTGAATAGTGTAAAATTGAAGGAACATTTTAAAATGTTTGCTTGTTTGCCTCCATGTCAGATCTTTCTCACTCACCAGAATACATTTTTTTCATTTCAGGGTGATCCTGGTCCTATAGGACCACAGGGCCCTCGAGGATTCCGAGGGCAACCGGTGAGTTCTCTCTCCTGACAATCTGTATCTGGAGGTACATTATAAAATTATAGAATGGTTTGTATCATATAGTTCCAACTCTCTGCCATGGGCAGGGGCACCTTCCACTAGACCAGGTTGCTTGAAGCCCCCCCCAAAGCTGGTCTTGAACACTTCCAGGGATGGCACATCCACACACTGTGTGTAGTGGGAATGTTCTGCAGTCTAGAACTCTGTTCTGGGAGAAGAGTCTTAAGCAAGATTTAGGTGATGTTTGATGAAAACACTATGAGAAAGACAAATTAGAATGATACTGCCAGAAGCTGATGAAGATTTCTAATAGTGCAATGGAGTGACTTGGTGGGAAGAACAGTTTAATGGAATCTGCTAGGACTGCAGTGTCAGAAGTGCTCATATTCCAGTCCTACCTCTGGCACCTTACTCACTGCTCACATGGTCTCAGTTTTCAAAGGCATACAGTAGCTGTGGGTACCCAGGTTGATATATGTGGGGTCCAGTTGTGATATTATTAATTTTTGTCATTCTTTCTATGTCTTCTAAGAAAAAAAAAGAAAAAGAAAGAAAGAAAAGGATAATGTTAGGAAAAAAGTTTTTTAATTGAACACCTGTAGATTCTGCAATTTCAGTGGAGAAATGGAAATTCAGTCCATATTTCAAAAAGTCCCATTTGGGATGGCTCAGAAGTTACTTTTATTAAATTCATGGCGTTTAAAATTCTGTCTTAAAAATGGACCCTTTCCAAATGTGAATTCAGGTGCCTGTTACTGAGCCTAGGCACACCTTTAATGTGTTGCAATGAGTGAATCCTTTTTCTACTTGGAAGACCTGCTAGTGAAACAGATTCTACAACATGTTCCATAATCAGGGCAAAATACTGATTCAGCCAGCAATGCTAGGAGATGGAGTGGCAGGTCACTCCGAGCAGGGAGGGTTGGGGTTTTGATTAGACTGCAGGAACATATGGATAGCTCCTGTGTCTTCCTTGTAATTCATCTCATTATTCCTGTGCTGCTGGCACCACTCACTAACGTGTCATGCCCCTGCACTACACTAGCAATGACTAAAAAAGATTTGAGGAGATAGGAATTATCATACCTCCAGGCCATATTCTTCTTAGGAGAAGAGATACTTGAGGGTTTGTATGTTAGAGGGCAAAGTATCAGTTTCTCTCATTCTTCCTCTGCTTTGTTTCTTCTTCTAATAAGGAGCATGAGACATGATTTTGAGTACTGCCAGTACAGGGTCTGGTCTTTATGATCAACTCCAATGCAGAGAAAAACACCTTTGCATGATGAGTTGAGAGGAGCATGGTTTAAAACCTCATCTCACCGAAGTTCAGTCAGTGCAGGTGATTAGGTCAGCTGCTTTGTTAAGGAATAGTGAGAAACAGACCTTTTAAAAGGATGGTTTGACTCATTCTGAGTTGTCTGGTGTCAGGTAAGTATCAAGTGACTCAAGGCTTTAGATCAAGTGTTTCTCTCCATTCCCAAAAGAAGGGAAAGCCTGAGAAAATTAAAAAGAGACTTGTCTGAACATTGGTGTCTTGTAGCAGCCATAGTAAGCTGCTCTATCTGTCCAGGAGGATGCTGCATATAATAGGAAAAGGGTGAAGCAAAGAAGAAGAGCTGGTTTGGGTCTCCTTAGGCTAGGAGATTTGGGTCCACGTGTCTCAATTTTTGTCCTGAGATGGGGTCAGCCGTGCAATCAGGCAATTTTTGTCCTGAGATGGGGTCAGCCATACAATCAGAGATGCAGAAGTTGTGGGAGCAATAGAAAAAAACCACTCTGCAGTTTGTTAGGAGAGGAGGATGTATGCTAAAGAAGATGCAGAAGTTGTGGGAGCAATAGAAAAAAAAACAGTCTGCAGTTTGTTAGGAGAGGAGGATGTATGCTAAAGAAATCCCTGCTGGTGTAGGTGTAGGTGCATATTTTTAATTCTAGTATACATTACATCATTACCCTTTTTCCTTTTGACACAGGGCAAGAATGGATTGCCTGGATCTGCAGGAGAACCTGGCCCAGCAGGTATCCCAGTAAGTACCACAAAAGGGAAACTTGTGCCGTAAGGAGAGGTGACTGATGAAGCATAAGTGGAGTGGATTATGTGTAGCTGGTTATCATCCCTGAAGTTTTATGTCTGAAGATCAGTGGTCTGAAAATCACTGGCTGGCCACAATTTTGGAGGGTGTTTGGCTGTGTTCCTGGAATTGAGATGCTAACTGGGTCATCATTTTTCCCAGTGAAAGTTAAGTGTTTACAGCAAAAGGAAATGATTGATTACCTGGTATGGAAAAAAGATTGGCATGCCTCATCTTCACCAATAGATCTAATTTTGCCAAGCAGAGTGCGTACAGCCAGCAGAGAGTTGTCACAAGGAAGGAGAGGCCTCAGGGAGCTGGCAAACTGCCATCAAGGAATAGCAGCAGCAGAAAAATCCTCCCCAGGCACTTGGGGAGAGAGCAGACAGCAGGCAGTAAACCAAGCTCAGGAAGCAGAATGAAACTCCCCTGAGGCCATCCTGTGTGGAAGAACAGCTTGGTAATGAAGAGCTGTAAGGACAGCAAAGTTGGTGCTTGTTTGTTTTGGTTTTTTTTTTCTTTCTCTGTTCCACTGCTGAAAAATTGATCAGGATTCAGCAAATCCATGCAAATGTACCTTTGTGTCCTGTAGCATCTATTGCAATGCAGGGCTCTTCCCTCTCTTTGCCCACCAAGTCAGTACAGCTTGTTGGGCTGTTGGATTCAGAGAAAAGCAAAGGCATAGAAGGAGAAATCAGAAAAACTGCAGTAGAATTTCGCCCTTTTTGTAGCCCTTGCAATGCCATAAAGCAGCCCCTGCCTTACCACAGACTTGTGCCCTGAGAGAGTATTGCTTTGCTGCAGGGATGTCTCAGAGAAGCAACCATCACCTTTCTCCATGGGGAGGTGATAACTCACAGGTTACAGGTGGGGCAGGGGTGCAGTCTCACAGCATTTCTGTAGCAAAAGATAAATCCTGCAGCTTTCTTCTCCTTGACATAACTTCTTCTTACCTTCCTGGGACTACTATCATTGTTTCTTACCCCATGAATCCTTGGTGCTGCCTTTTCAACCTTCTTTTCTTCTTCTCATCCATGCCCATCCCTTTTCCAATTCCTATTACTGCTTTTTACTTTCTGGATCTTCACCATGTCACTGTGGCTTTGGGATGCCTTGTGAATGCCAAATGGAGATTATTTTTTAATCTTCATAGTGTTATCACATTACCTAGACTGTCAGCTAGTGACCCAGGGACTCACTGGGCAGCTTCCTGCACAAGCTCTGCACCACAGCAGCCTCTGCTTCAGAGGATTTAGAGTCCAAAAATAACATAGGAGATTGAAAAAGGATAAAGTCAGATGGATGAGAAAGGGGAAACAATGAGACAGTGTTGGTCAGCAGAACAGACAGTCATCTCATCAGTATCCTTCTCTGTCATTAAAATGAATCCTCTCCCTTTCATAAAGGTTATAATGGGAAGTATTTCCTTGTGCTGTACGTGAATCCATTTATTTTGAAATGTACTCATTTCCTTCACACTGTGGTGTGACAAGCCAATGTATTATATTTCTAGCCTGAAAAAAAAGGGGAAATAAGAAAGGTTATGATGGCAATAACAGTGGGTTTTTTCCACCTTCACCATCGATGACTTGTAATCACAAGGCAAAACCTGCCAGGAGCCTTCTCCTTTTGCATCTGTTGTTTGACAGTGCCCACCCCAATCCACAGTGCTCATGCTTAAGCCTACACACAGCAATGCAGCCCAGACCCTGAAGTCTCCATGGCTGGTTGCATAAGCAAAAATCCATGTGCTTTGTGCCTGTCAGGCTCGTGGGTGCTCACTTTACGCGAGTATTAATCTAGGAAGAAAACCAGATATGTTCTGAATTAGAAGGTAGGGGACAAAGTTGTGAAAGAAAAGGTTAAAATAAGTGAAAAAAACATATCAAAGTGTGTGTGAAATGGTTCTGTATCATGAACTGTCATTTCAGCTGCCCTGCTCTGTGAGAAAAAAGGGATAGTTTGGCAGAATATCACAAGAGATAAGTAAAGGGCAGAGATTTTTTTTCAATTGAACCTAGAAAAAAAGGGAAAAGAGCAGCTCCAAAGCTGTCTGTTGGTTGTAGTGTCAGATTTGAGCAGTATGATCACCTGCACTGTTTCTCTGTCATCACCCAGCTCAGCATCTCCACTCTCAACAGCCCTTTATGAACTATGTGATGCCAGAATAGCCACAGAACACACCTCCTGCCCCTGTTAGAATTGTTCCTTCCTTTGCATCTTCTCACAGAGACCTCACATAACTTATTAATAATTCAAGCACAGTGATTGCAACCTGCTTTTCTACGTGGCTTCGTTCTTCCTTTCCCTGCCAGTTTTGGGAATCCTGCTGCTACAGTTAAATTACCCAGTTCCAATGTGTCTGTAAATGCATGCTCTGGAAAAGAGATGTTGGAGAAAGGGCTGCTAGTGTCTGTCTCATTTCTGTCCTAAGGGTCCCAAAGGAAATAAAGGAGAAACAGGCAGCCCAGGACTCCCTGGTTTCATAGGACCCCGAGGACCACCTGTAAGTATGTCTGGGGATGGATTAGACCTGCTCATTATCTGCTTTAAAATGCTAGCCTGATGAAGATAGGACAAAGATCCAGAAGCCATATAGTTTTATTTCCAAACTGGTCTGCAAAAATAGCATCTTTCATATGGATGAACGCCCATAATCTCACTTATGGAGCTGCTACCTGACAGTCCTGATAATGTGTGAATTAATCAGACTGGTTCAATAGTCTTAATATGGATGTGGGGTGTTTGAGTTCTCAGACTATATGCCTGCATGAACCCCAGATGGACTAAATAGGGAAATTGTAAGTGCTGATATTAACACATGTATTTCTGATATTTGCTGTTCCAAGGGAAATTCCTTTGTTGCCAGCAACAGAAGTACCTTGCAATTAAAGCATTCATATATCTCCCAAAGTGATCTAAAATAATACCTATACACATGAGCATATCACAGTCTCAAAATCCAATATCTTTAGCACTTCCAAGGCAAGTAAAACATGTTAAATTCCACTGGAAGTATAGAAAAGCTGAATACTAGGTAAATGTGTTTGTTTCTAGCTCTGTTGTGACCAAAAAATGAGATTTAAACAGGTTTCATGTGCCTGTAGTAGAGCTGAATCTTCCACAGGATAATTCTTTTTTCCTTCTGCAATATTTTTTACATTTTATTCTATAATTTGAAAGGGAGTTTTATGATGAAAAGAGGAGAAAGAAATATTTTTCTGGAAAATTAAGTTAAAGCAATAAATGTGGTGGTCATTTAAAACTGAAGTGGCCCTAAGGAATATTTGAGTGAGTCTGATCTGCCTAATTTGGAGCCAATGTGATCATGCATCTGTGATTAGTTGCATTACTCATGGACACGTGTATAGATTCTAGCAAAGCTGAAGATGTTCTGTTTCCAGATTATGGGGAAAATACCACCTGCATCCACATGTTATAGATATGACCATGTGTCTGAATTCTAAATGGACTACAAAGATGAATCTTTAAATTCATGACATGGGAAAACTGGGCAGAATTTCAGCAATTGCTAGTTTAGTGTTTGTTTTGCTTTATCAGTGCACCTGAGGAATTTTTTTCATTGAAGTGCTAAAGTGCAAAATATATTATCTAATTAGCACATTATAAGTGCAGATAAAATAATTAGAAAAATATATATTTTATACATAGAAAAATAATTTTAGTAGGGTGCTTGTTCAAATTGAGGTTATTTAACATAGTTCTGGAAGACAGGCAAGGTTTCATGCTTAAATTTCTTTTAGCATTGTTCTGTGTGTGTTATTTCAGCAGGTATAATACAATATGGTGCTTCTACCTACAAAATTTACTTCACTTACATCTTTATACTGTTATGGATGTAACATTGGTGTTGTTTAAGCTAAATCAGACCATATAAAGTGTATGAAGCTTTGTGAAGTGTTGGTAAGAAAAAGGAACAAAAGGTATTGAAAGCAGGAACACACTTTCAGTGAAACATCTGTCCTGCTTTCAGCTGGTTTGTTAGAAATTATTTCCTGTTATGTGCATTTACATGGGCACCAACTTTGCTAAAAATGCTTTGTAAATAGTAAGATGTGTCTTTCCAGGAATGATCAATAGTAATAGTATAAGGATAAATCATCCAAATCTGTTGCTGTGTAGCAGAAAACTTGGGTTCTAAAGAGAAAACAAGATTTTGTTTATTGGTAAGGTCTTCCTTCCAGCTCCTTGCAGTGTGATGCTATATTAACTTTCTGTGTGTCTCAGGGAGAACCAGGAGAGAAAGGTCCTCCTGGAAAAGAGGTAAGTTAAATTCCCATTTGTTTCAAAGTAGGGCTGATGTCTTGGGGAAAAAAAAAACAACATCTAGTTTGCTACCTGGATTGCAAAAAATTTAATTTTTTTTTATAGAATGTTTTGGGTTGAAGGGATCTTAAAGATGATCTAGTTCCAATCCCCCCACCATGGACAGGGACACCTTTCACTAGCCCATGCTGCTCAAAGCTCCATCCAGCCTGGCCTTGAACACTTTCAGGGATGGGACATCCACATCTTCTGTGACCAACCTGTTCCAGTGCCTCAGTACCCTTATAATGAAGAATTTCTTCCCCATACCCTACTCTCTTTCATTGTGAAGTCATTTCCCCTTGTCCTGTTGCTACAGTCCCTGCTAAGAAGTTTATCTTTTCTTATAAGCACCCCTTATGTACTGGGAGGTGGTCTAAGGTTTCCCCAAAGCTGTTTCTTCTCCAGGCTGAGCAACCCCAATTCTCTCAGCCTGTCTCCATATCAGAAGTGCTCCAGCCCCCTGAGCATGTCCATGGTCTCCTCTTGACTTGCTCCAACAGGTCCACATCCCTCTTATGTTGATGGCCCCAGAGCTGGATGCACTACTCCAGGTGGAATCTCACCAGAGCAGAGTGGAGGAAGAGAATAACCTCCCCAGACCTGCTGGTCCTGCTTCTTTTTTTCCTGCATTGTCCATAATCAAGAGCAAATTGAGAACTCTCAGGCAACTGTGGGACTGTCAGGGAAAGAAATTTTCATCAGGTCACAAGAATCACTGCAAAGGCATGTGCTCTGTTATTTACTGTTATTATGGCTAGGTTTTTAATTCTTGCCCTTATTTTATTGCAGGGTGCACCAGGGAAACCAGGTGAAATTGGCTCTAAAGGAGAGAGGGTAGGTTGGAGAATTTTATTAGTTATTTCATTGTGTTGAAATAAAGAAATCTATTTTGAGTTAGGGATGGGGGTAGGGGTCATTCAGGAGGGTTTCCCACCCTCCCAGCTCCCTCTTTAATCATTCTACATCAGTAATAATCTGTGGATCACTTGTAGTGCACCAGATGTTGTATTCAATAACTTTGCCAGCTCAGCTGTTAGTGGTTTGCTGTATTTGCAAATAGAAGTTTACCTCATTTTGTGATTGCAGTGTTGTTCTTTTCACTTAGGGAGAGCCTGGCATCAAAGGTGAAAAAGGCCCTCAAGGAGAAAAGGGCCCTCCAGGTGATCCTGGGATACCTGGTCATAAGGGCCATCCAGGACTGATGGGTCCCCATGGACCCCCAGGAGACACTGGGCAGGTTGGACCTCCTGGTCCTCCAGGACAGCCAGGATTTCCAGGACCAAGGGTAAGTTTTCTAGAGAAGGACTCTCTACAGCAATTTTACTGCCAAAGTATGTGATCAGAAAAGTACCTCAGAGTACATGGAGGCTGACAGAAACCAGAGCAAGAGTGTGTTATAATGGGGAAGTAGTGCTTTTATCTCTTGATACACAAAACTTAGATCTGTAGACATCTCAGGGAATCATAGAATGGTTTGGGTTGGAAGGGGCCTTAAAGGCCATCTAATTCCATCCCACCTGCCATGGGCAAGGACACCCTCCACTTGACCAGGTTACTCAAAGCTTTGTCCTATCTGGCCTTGAACACTTCCAGGGGTGGGGATGGGGAAAAGTTTTGTGGGTGTTGATTTGAACCTCAGGGAAGCTGAGCAATCTAGCCCCATAGGCAGGGTGGTCAGTTCCTGACACTTTGTACTCCTAAAAGCCTAAATCAGGTCATCTGATTGTGGCCATGGATGTGGAGTCTGAAAAAACTTCTTTCTATAAGGGCATTAATGCATAGCATTTCATACAGAGGATTAATGCCTTTCTCTACTGCTGGTTGTTATGAGAGACAAAATGCTGAGCTGTGGAAAGGTCACTGCTCTATTCCTGGAAATCCTGGAGTCAGCTCATCAGAATTCATGAAATACTGTTTTTGCTTAATATTCTTTTTTGGCTTTTTATCCCCCTAACGGGAAACAATCTCTCTACTGAGAATGCCTGAGGGTGATGTATGTAGAAGAATGAGAAATCTTCCAACATCAGTGAAGCCACCATCCCATCCTCAGGATGAATTTAAGATCACCTCAGAGGGGAATAAACAGTGAAATAATCTCTGATGTAAAAACTGAGTAAATTTTAGACAAAGTATTTCTTTCTATGTCTCAGCAATGCAGAGATTTGATGTAACCCAGTGATGATTATGGAGACTTAATGCAACTAATAGGGTTAAAACTTGAAAAGATAATTTGTAAGCCTTCAAAGAATGATCCACAATAGTATTTACTTACTGGTATGTTCACCAAGAACCATCATAAACAGTTAGTAGCTAATGACAAAATTGTTCTTTTGTCACCAACAAACACATCTTTTTCTCATGCAAAATTTGTCTCAGGAAGGAGGCAGCAAATAGAGCAACTCTGTACTTATCAGCAATGGTATTGATTAAGATTGAAATGTCACTTAGCTATTTAATAAGATCTCATTTGTCTAATGAAGACTGACATCTAATTCAGAAGAGTTCACTAGGTTTTATAAACATAGAGGACTCATACTGCATCTTTGTATGTTAAAAGGATAAGTGTGTGGGAAAAGCAACATTTTAATGCAAGTTGCTCATACACAACACAATGCAGTCTTCAGGCTGATCAGAAAACTGACAGAAATTCAAAGAACAATTTTAGCCAAAAAACTGAAAAGTGTATTTCAAATGAAGCATCTCATTTGATCTTTCTGCTTGAAAATGGTTTATTTTTTAAAAATAAAAATCTACATTTTTTGTTCTGAGTTTATGCAAAGACAAGAGACTGGTTACCCTAAAATATCTTTTTTATTATTATTATTATTATTTACTTGGAAAGCCACAACCTAAAAACCTCTCCTTCCACCTACCAAAAATGCTTTCATAATTTATTCAGTGGCATCATCCAACAACTCTGTTCACATTTCTTTGACTTTTTCAAGTTATTATAGCTGTACAACAGCAACATCACACAAAAGAGCTGAGGGAAGGAATGAAAGATACTGTGCCTTGGGGGCTGTGTAGGGGACCTAGGCCAGACAGCCACATCCCCAGTCTTCCTTCAACAGCCTGAAATCAGGCAGAACCTTGCATTCATTTGGAAGAAAGGATATCATGTGCATAAACTGGCTTCTGTTTCCTGAGATAAGGATTGTTGGCAGGCAATGCATCCAGTATGAGTGTTTTTAGCAAGTCCAGATATCCATCGTTACTACCCTAGGGGCATGAGTGCATCTCTCTGCAAGGAAACATGCCATGATGAAAAAGGAGGTGGGATCTCCACTGTGATCTCGTAGGGCAGAGGGTGTCTCCTAATTTGATTTCTACTACTTGTCTTATGAGTGTATAGGAGGTAGATTTTTTTCTAGAAAGAAGAAAGGAAGTGTCCCAACTATGCACTCAGACCAGGCTCCCTGTTTACACCTTTGAGGGTATGGTTTGCCAGCAGGTTGGGAAATATGGGTGTTTTAAGTCCCTTTACATTCTTTTATCAAGCAGACCCTGCAGCCCTGTGTATGCTGTAGGCTAAGAAATGCCACCTGCTAAACACTTTGTAGAGAGTTTGGTTTGCATATCATAGAATCATAGGATGGTTTAGGTTGGAAGACAACTTAAAGATCATCTAGTCCAATTCCCTGTCATGGGAAAGGACACCTTCCACTAGATTGGGTTGCTTAAAGCCTTGTCCAACCTGGCCTTGAACACTTCCAGGGTTGGGGCAGCCACAGCTTCTCTGGGTGACTTGTTTTAGTGCCTCATCACCCTCACAGTAAATAATTTCTTCCTAACACCTAATCTAAATCTATCCTCTTTTAGTGTCAAACTGTCTCCCCTTGTCCTCTCACGGTCTGATCCCCTGTTTGTGATTTTTGTGTCTCATCAATGTGATTCTGACTCTTTAGGGGGAACCCCCATCTCTAGAGACTTTGAGAAGGCTCATCCAAGAGGAGTTGGCCAAGCAGCTAGATGGTAAGTAACCAGTTCCAGGAAGCCAGATGATTTATCTGAGAGTATGAAAGATACTTTCCATAACTGTACTGGCACTTGAACCTCTTCTGCTTATGGAAGGTGTTATTGCAACAAACCTGACTGTAAGGAGGAACGTATAAAATGAAATATACTTAGCAAGCTTTAATATTCCCAGTCTTTGTTGTTCCCAGCAATAGCACAGAAAGTAATCAGAGTAGGATGTAAACTTGCTTTTTGAGATCCCAACTGGAGGAGAAATGTTCATAATTTCTGGCTATGACATTTGATACTCATTAGTATGAGAAGAGGGGCTGGAGAGGATGTGAGCTGCTGTTTCTCTCAAAGTATGTGAATTACAGACCAGTACTGACCCCATCAACAGTGAGATGCAGAGCTATAGTGCTGCTTCTCACACACCTCTTGAAGCAGCTGACATGTAGCTGCAGGAATTTTCCTCCACGCTAAAGATCACAGTTCAGTGGAGTGATTTATTTCACAGATTTTATGTACACACTCTCAGTCTTCAATATCTACACCAATCTAAAAGCATTCAAGATTTAGGGTCAATGAAGAAAAGACAGAAAACTCTTCTCCCTCTATTCTGTAGGATGTTCATGTGCTGCTGAGTATGCCTTAAGAGCTCTGTAGGTTGTTGTAGTGGTTTAACCCCAGTCAGTAACCAAGCCCCACACAGCCTCTCACTCACTCCTCTGCCGGTGGAAGCAGGGGAAGAATCAGAAGGGTAAAAGCTAGAAAACTCATGGGTTGAGATAAAGACAGTTTAATAGGGAAAGCAAACGCCAGGCACACAAGCAAAACGAAATGAGGAATAAATTCACTGCTTCCCAAGACTAGGTAGGTGTTCAGACATCCTCATGAGAGCAGAGCCCCATCAAGCACAACGGTTACTTGGAAAGATGAATGTCATCACTCCAAATGTCCCCTCTTCCTCCTTCTTCCCCCCACTTCATGTACTGAGCATGATATCATATGGTATGGAGTATCCCTGTGGTCAGTTGGAGTCAGCTATCCTGGCTGTGTCTCTCCCCAGCTTTCCATGCACTTCCAGTCTCTTCACCAGCCTGGCAGTATGAGAAGCAGTAAAGGCTTTGGCTCTGTGTAGGCCCAGCTCAGCAATAAAAAAACCAGCTCTATATTATCATTGCTGCATTCAGCACAAGTCCAAAACATAACTCCATAGTAGCCACTGTGAAGAAAACTCTATCCCAGCCAAAACAAGCACAGTTATTCAAGGCTGTAGCATTGAAGTGGCAAGAAATGTGCCTGCTTAGAATTTTGAGAATATGCTGACACAGGGAGCTGTCTTAGTTACAGCTTCTGACTTCACAGCCAGAGATGAGTACATTGTCTTTAACTCCACATATGTAACAACCCAGAACAAGAAAAATAAACTTTCTCCCTACAGAGCTGCCATGTAGCATCTCACTCTGTGTGGCAGAAGCAGTGGAAATAGGCTTTTCTTTTCAGAGCAGCAATGATCCCAATTTGACAGAAATTCACCAGCTGCATAACTAAAAGAAGGGACAATTCAGATACCAATTTGACAGAAATTCACCAGCTGCACAGCTAAAAGAAGGGACAATTCAGATCCTTGGAGGACAAGGAGGAGAAGATGAGAGAAAAGTTTAGGATGAAGTATCAAATTTAGGAGAAGTATAAAGCTGAGAAATGACATGTAAATAATTTAGAGAGGATCAGAGAGGCACAATCATAGCTTATGGGGAAGGATTGTGGAGGGAGAACAAATAGGTGACCCTGAAAAATTCATCTGTGACAATACTTGGACTTTGCTGGGCCACTGCTCCTGGCTCTCCATCTCTTGGAGCACAGACCTTCTAGCCTAACAAATCCATTTCCCTCTCTTCACAGCAAAGTTAGCCTATATCCTGGCTCAGATGCAGCCTGCACAGGTAAAAGCATCCCATGGCAGACCAGGACCTCCTGGTCCCCCTGGGAAGGAAGGACTCCCAGGAAGAACTGGCCCTCCAGGGGAGCCTGGCCGACCTGGACAGACTGGGTCAGAAGGTCCACCTGGGCCAATTGGCCCCAAAGGTGAGTGAAACCTGGTGTGTTGGGGCAGTTCAAGAAAAGGATGTGTCCACTCCACTTTGGCATCCACCTTTCCTTTTAATAGCATATAAATAGTCCTCAAAATGCAGGTTTTTGAAATGACCTCAGTCTGTTGAACCAGAGGTGCTGAATATGATCAGCAATCACTGGTATGTTCCACCTCTGGCCAGAGCTGGAGTGGGGGAAGTCTTCATTCCCACTTAATATCCCACTGGCCACAATTAGTAACTATTTTTACCAAATATGTTGGTTTTAGTGTGTATGTTACTACGGTAGTATTCTTTAGTTCTGTAGACGATAATCATTGTCTTGTTCATTGTTTGTTCATATTTTTTTCTTTCCTTCTTTGCAGGAGAAAGGGGAGCAAAGGGTGAAAAGGGTGACACTGGCGTTGGCCAACGAGGGGAAATAGGTCCTCCAGGAATTCCAGGTGTGTTTATTCAGAACAGCCCACAAAATATTTCATTTGGAACCACTACAAGCACAAGGGTCTCTGCTATATTAGATAGATGATCAGGATGACATAAGTACAGCACACACAATTTCTGTAGAAAGTGGCCCAAAGGGGAAGAACTATCACTAGCATCATATCTGGCCACCTTTGTGTCTTCAGCCTGATGGATGGGTATAATGATCCATCTCTATTACAGCTAAGTTAACTGACCTTTGGGACAAATCCAAAATGAAACTTTAATTATTAGATACACTGTGAATTGTTCTCTCTGTCCTTGGCAGAGTCTCATTGTGACCAAGCTGAACCCAGAGATTCAGGCAGCTTTAGATGTTATAAAAGGTCATAGTGAACACCTGTGCCTTGAGCATACAGCTCCTGTTTTACTGCTACTGAAAAAGCAGCAGCAAATACAGATTTTTTTGCAATCTGAAATTAGGAGCCACTGATCAGTTTTACCTTCATTCTGCTTTGTTGGGGAAGAAACTATGGGAAGCTTCCTGCATTTGGCATACTGGCCCTGCATTTCCTTAAAGAACAAATGAGTTGTCTCACCAAGCTGGCACTTGCCTCATGCTTTCCCATGCTCCCCTCCTCTCTGTGGGGAGCTTCACAACTTCAGCTTGGTGATAGAGGACGAGCAGCTTAGCAGACCTGTGCATCCCAAGGATTCCATAGGGCTGGAAATCTTCTTTCAGAGGAGATGCATTGGTCACATCCCTGTAGAAACACGCTGGCCAGACCAAAATTCTTGGCAATTGATGTCTGCATCCCAGTTTGGCAGCAAAGGCATCTCCTGGGATGTTACACTGCTGAGTACTCTGGGAGGGTCGTTCACCAAGGGCATTGTGTTTCTGTTTCAGGCCTCCCAGGGGAGCCTGGTTATGCCAAAGATGGGATGCCAGGACCCCCGGGCCCTCAAGGTGAAGCTGGTGTGCCTGGTCTTGCAGGTCCACAGGGACCTCCAGGAGCTACTGGACAATGTGACCCCACTCAGTGTGCTTACTATGCAAGCCTGGCTGCCCGACCCGCCAACGTCAAAGGGCCCTAACATGCAGGGAGCACCCCCAGACTTGTTTTTAAAACTTGAATTCATCACACCTGCCAAGAGCTCTCAGATGCCTTCAGCTGTGTTTCTTTTGTGGGAAGTCTAAAGCCAACAAATGCTGCCGGTCGGTCAGATTATTTTTATGAAATATTATTATTATTGTTATTATTATTAT